TTTAGGGTCATTTCAAAAAAAAACCTAATAGCAACACTTGTGTAATCATGGTTGACGACATCGAAATTAAAAACTCAAGAACACCAAATCAAAGGCAAATTCAATCCATGGCAAAGTCAAATTCACTTCACCCATTTTTGTCAAATTCAATTCATGGCAAATTCAAATTCGTTTCACCCATTTGTCAAATTCAATCGATGTGATATGGGTATGCTTTGTGTTTGTCATCCTTGGGTATTACCATAGTTTTGGTACATGCCTAGACAGCATGTTCCTTGAATTAATACATGTCGAGGTCAATTTTTTCCCCATTTCTCTATAGCTCCAATGCTCATAATTAAGACTACAATGAATACTCATCCACTTCTCTTTTTTTTTAAATTTTTTTGATATTATATTTTAACAGAAAGTTGTGTCAATGTATTCTGGAATATTCAAGAAAATCTAGGTGTTGAAAGAATTGGGTAACTACTATAGTTTGCATAATATTTCATGACCAATCACGTTGAGATGTTATTTTAACATACCTTTATGCATAGAAAAAGTGAGGTGCAAAAATCATGAAATGGAGTAAAGGGCACTTGAATTAATGATACTAATTCCTTTGCCATGGTTGAAGATCTGGGAACACCAAGTATATTAGATAAGAAAGTGGTTATCATCCTTCACTATGAACTTGAAACTACATCATCATCTTCTCAAAATTTACAATCATAAAAAGAACCGATAAATCAATCTAGCACACCATCAACACAAGTGCTAGTATAATAGAAACCCTTGTCCATTCGATTGCTAAGAAAATTAAACAATACAAAAAAGAAAGCAAAAATAATGAGAGCTAAATAGAAGATTCAACATACCTTCATGAGGAGCATAAAATTGGGACGATCATGAGGAGGTCAATCAACAGTTCAACACCTTTCTCCAACATTATACGTTCTTCACCACCACCCAAACCACATAAAAATGAAATGTATCGAACAAAAGATATCAAAAATCAATAAAAAAGCGACAAACCCGAAACCTAAGCACATCACATGTAAGTACTTGCAACAAAACTACTCTTATCATAAATGCTTATTTTCTATCCTCTTTTACAACTACATATGGGCAAAAACTCGATAAGATCACGGTAATAAAATACCATCAATGATAACGTTAACAAAATAAAAAAGCCAAACTACGCCCTTAACTAACTGTAAGGGCGGTGTTTTCTTAGTAGCCGGAGCTCTAATGCTTAGCATGTTTGACCAACAATTCACCTCCAACAAAATCACCGTTCTAATTTTTCATAAAAAGCTATGAAAATAAAAAACTGAAACCTTTAATGCAAACACTTCAAAGGTTTCAGTAAATGAGTATATGAAAGTTATGAAAAATCCTAAAAAAATGAAAAAAAAAAAAAACCAACTTCTCCGTAAATGAGTATATATGCATAGGGAAATAGAGATGAGCAAAGTCTCACCAATAAGCCCCTAACTTCCTCTTGCATTTAGTTTTCTTGGGCAACACTTAGCTCAAATCCCAAAATTCAAATAGAACCACAGCACTTCCCTGCATTTACATAATGCACACACAAGAAGAGAAGATTAGGTTCACCCTTTTGTAAACATCTGAAAGCCCACAAAATATAAACAAAAAAATGAAACCCAGAACATCAAGAAAGTGAAGACCCCAATATGGGCAATCTTGGATGTTCCATAGCTCTCTGAGAGTTTTCATTGAACATGGGAAAGGTGGAAGGTGCGAACAGAGAGGGGTTTGGTGCGGGTGTTTGCGCAAATATGTGTTTGTGTGCGTGTCTTGTGTGGGTGCCAGGACCGACGGGATAGATAAGGGAATTTTGACACAAAATCGATTACCTTAGTGAATTTGGATCAAGACAGAGAGGGTGAGGTAGAGATGAAGAGGGGTTTGTGCGCGTGTTATGTGTGTGTGCACTATGTGTTGTGTGTGATGTGTGTTGTGTTTGCTGCGTGTGCACTGTGTGTGCTGTGTTTTATGCTGTGTGTATGTTCTGTGTGCATTCTGTGCCTGTTACGTGGGTGTTTGCTACGTGTGTGCCTGCTGGGTGTGTGTGGGCACACTTGAGTAATAACTCTCTGAGAACTTCTGTCAAACATATGGTGGGCAGTTTGTGTTTGGTGTATTTTGTCTGTGACGAGCGTGTGTGTGCAGAAGGGCGAGAGCTGGAGTGTTATCTGCGTGTATGAGACAGAAGAAGAGAAGAGGGATACCTGGGAGAGGAAGACTGTGGCGCGGTGGAGGTGGCGCCGGTGAAAGAGAGAGAGCGAGAGAAGTGATGGAGGAAAAGAAAAAAAAATTGGTTTACTGGATGCTTCTCTATATTTTTATTATATTTTAGTCTTAAAATTTAACTTCCATTAATTTAAATACAAAAGTTAAATTTGTATTTTTGCATCTCAAAAATAAAAAATATATAAATAAATAATATTAATATTTTAAATTCATTTCCATGTTATTTATTTAAAAGATAAATTCTTGAAACTCCCAATCTCATATTATCTCCTTATTTTTGCATATAAAACTCATCTCATTGGCAATAAATTTTTAATCACCTCGCTATCTTCGCTGCATAATGACAATTCTAAGTATATCGAAACCTAATTTATTGACTTAATTTATTATGTCCTTTAGATTGACTGTGAACCCCATAAAACATTAAAACTTAGTGTTAATCTAATGATTCTAATAAAATCACATCATTAATCAGTAAATTATGTGAGATTCTTAAATTCAAATAATATTACTCATCCTAAGAAAAATAGTGATAGTATCCTAATGTATTAATAATATATGCATCGGAGATATGGTACAATGCTCAAAGTTCTAATAATATTTAAATACCCATAATAATATGCATAACATATGTATGAGAGAATTACGTCAAAATTTTCTAAGGTTTGTCAATTAATCACTCAAATTCTTTGACATTGTAAATATTACACATAGACCCTCTGAAATTTGTATACACGAAACACTTAGACCCTTATTGTTAATATGGTATTATATCTATTAGTAAATTACACTAAAACCTCCTGAAGTTTGTAAACGTATAATATTTAGACTCTTTAAGTTTAAAATGTTATATTTAGACAAAAAATATTTCAAATAAAGATAGAATATAAATATTTTAAATTTATAATCAAAATTCATGTTCTATTATATCATTTATTAAAATAAAATAAAAAATAAAAAATTATAATTAGTATAAAATTATACTATCTATTAAAATAAAACTAAAATATCAAATAAAGAGTTTAAGTCATTCATAATAGAATATGAATTTTATAACTAAGATTCATGTTCTATTTATGTCATTTATTAAAATAAAATAAATTTTTATATATATTATTTCATTAATTGTATACTAATTATGATTTTTTAAGAAAAAATGTTTTTTAATTTTATTTCAATAAATGTCATAATAGAATATGAATTTTAGTTATAAAATTTAAAATAATTAATATTCTATCTTTAATTGAAGTATTTTTTGTTTAAATATAATATTTTAAATTTAAGTAATCTAAGTGTTACACAAAAATAAAGTACAAGCTATATTTTATTATTTCACTGTCCAATATATGTTATAGTTGATTTTTTGATATATAACAATATCATATTATTATAATACAAATGCTAGTATTGTAATTTAATCAACTTTTTTTGACAAAAATATAATAAATTTAAAATATAATTAAATGTACAAATATTCAATAATGGCAATCCTACAATAAAAATTCATTACAAACAAGAGAAAAATATCTAAGGAGTCGAAGAGATATCTAAACAGATGATAGATTAGATACTCGAAGAGGATAGAATAAATTAATAATTAAGCTTGACAATGATTAAAATAAAAGTTAATAAAAATTATTTAATTTAATCACACATATAATTTTAAACTTTATATAAAAAAATTATTATAAAAATATATTTACATACAATGCACATCGTGCATATATATATATATATATATATATATAGTACGATGCTCAAAGTTGTTTGGTTCTTGCAAATGAAAACTCTACCAATATATAGGTTTTTGGTCTTATTATGAATGACTATAATATTGTCAAATATTATATATTTATGATATTTTTAGAATCTTTTGTTCAAATATCTAGTCTTCTACTTATATTTCTTATATATTTCATAACGTTAATTGAAGAAGGTTTAAATAAAAAATATTTTTTAGAATCCTCTAAAATATTCTTTAAAGGGATCTTATAATTAAAGAACTCATCGAAAGATTGTTTGCAATTTTTAAGAAGACAAGATGAAACAAAAGTCTCATTTAACATAAAATATTATGTATTAAGATAACTCATTTTTTAATATTTATATAAAAAAAAAATAGGTAAGATTGAAAAAATAAAGGTAATAAAAAAAACGTTCATTTAGTTGTGTCATATTAGAATTGACTCAATTTATACTCATTCTATTTATAATCTTGTATAGCAAATTTATATTACATATAAATCACATTTATTAAATTTGTTTCGTGTTTAGTCGGATTTATGTTAACTTGTTTATTTAAGAGACCTATCAAGTTAATTTTTTTATCAAAGCTAAACAAAAACTCTATTGATTTCGCATTCCATACCTAAAATTGTCTTAAAATTAAAGGCTTTTTGAAATTTTTAAGCGATTCTAAATTTTTTTTTTGAACCCCAAATATACGTATCAAATTCCATACTCGCTATTTTTAATGAATTAAGTCAGTATTATATCAATAAATTAGACCCTTGTAACATTATTATTAACTAAAATAGGTCAACAACAATTATAAAGTCAACAGCAAAAGCATCAACACCCTAAGACAACATCAGGGAAGAAAACTAGAGTTGCATCAAGATGCAATTAGAGCAGCAGAGATGAAGGGGCAAAAGGAAAGGACAAAGGATAACAGCAATATAAGTTCACATCAGAAGTCAGCTCATCCAATGCAATTAATCCAATGATCTAAAGTTATAATATTCCTTGAAAGTTTACATCCACTTAATCTCTTGACTATGAAGGAGTATCCTCAATATTAAAAAATTTCAAACAACCAAGATTTGAATTTTTTTTTTTTTTATGGTTCACATATTGGGACAGTTGCAAAATGTTATTCAAATGCATATTGAAAGCCAAAGTCTAGCCCAGTTGGCAAGGACTGCCTTTATCGGCAGAGAGACATTCATTGATTGATATGTATCATCCAAGCAAAAGAAACAAGATGGAAACTTATATGTAGCCTCCCCCTCATTTAAGTGGAAAAATCACATCATTTTGATTCGTTTACAGTTTGAAGTGGAGTTCCGGATGCCTCTACCTGTCACAGAATATGGTGAGGATGCAGATCTAAGAGAGGGAGACTTGTCAATATATGCATATCGTTCATTGCTGTTCCAGTACAAAATGAGCCGACTGGTGCAGGCATGCGACCAACTATCACCTGTTCAGCATGATATAATACAAACTTATTATGGCAAGGAGAAGAGTGACCACGGAAACTAAACTAGGAATTCAAGCTGGAGGTTTTTTTTCTGTTCTTTTAGTTCCCGTTAACATACTCCATGCTAAAGGAAGGTGGAACACTAAGTCAGAATGAGAAGCATATTGAGAATGTATGTTACCTAGTGCGAGAGTTAAATGGAATGAACCTTCTGAATACTTAGTGGTCACCTGATTCAACAGAATCACCTGCTCGAAACATTACCAATAACGAATTAACTAAAAAAATAAAGAGATAAACAAATTCGTGTATAGATAGATGACAACACATGCAAATTCACCAGTTATTTGGTAGCTGAAATTTCTTAAGCAGATTTTACAGGTAATGCATTAAGAAATTCAAAGAGTATCAAGGAGTCAAATAAGCTCAGCTTGTTTGCAGCATACAAACCATTCTGTTAAGGAGCTTTGGTTCACCTTACAGCAAGTTCAAATATTTAAGGAAAAAAATGAAGAAAAACAGGGGGGGGGGGAAGTAATCCATAAGATTACAAATTTATTCGATGTAACTTGCCGTAGATCAACTGGGATTGGCATCAAGTATGTACAAGGAGAACATAAACATTCTTACCGCCAAAGTAAACTTTTTAGCAAGCTTCATCAACTTTAAGGCCATTCCACTTAGTAGTCGAGTTCTAAGAGCCATGTCTTCAAAATCTTGACGGAAGTGGAAAGTTATGCTATCCACAATGACAACCTTAACCTATGAAAACAAAAGGCAGAAACAAAAAAACAACTATGTGAGCCATTTGCAACATACATACTGCATGAACTATAAAATAGTAGTAAGATAACTAGCCTCTGTACACATAAAAACGAGGTAAGAACGGCAGATGTAATGGGGTCTGAATGTTCATTGATAATATTTAGCCATAATAAGGAAAAGGAGGGGACATATGTAATAACAGAGGAATCATCCAAGTACACATAATATATATGTAAAGTTGATGTCAATCTCCAGCTTGTGATTGCTATACTTCCCCACATCCATGGGAAGTGATTACTGGCATCTGGCAGAAACAGCCCAAGAAGATGCTAGTCCATTAAGTAATTTCTTATCCTTGTTATTTACCAAAATTTAAAGGCAAATCTAACAGCTTTTAGGGCAGGAAAATTTTGACTGTGAAACATGATTTTGTCAATGTCAGAACATGTGATATGAGGTCATCAGGAGAACCAACATTCAATTGTTAAAGATATAGGCACCAGGCAACTAAATATTGCTGAGAGGATTGATTGCAAATAATCCAAATCAACAAATGCATCCTATACCTACATCTTTGTGCTCTGAGATGAACTTTTCTAAATAATTTATCACGGCAATCAGCTCTGTGTAACTGCAGATGCGAAAATAGTATATATTGGCAAGGAAATCCTTAGGCTGCATTTTAACTTGACAAGCTTGAACACCCTTATGCAGAAGAACATCATAGTCTAGCATGTCTTCCAGGCATGCTTCCGCAATTTGTAAAACACGTTCCACCATAAAGCTGCCTTCTGTATCTAAGCTTCACAAAAGCATCATATTTTAAGCTAAAAATATGGTAAGAGGGTTAAGAAGAAAAAAAGATGCATAAGGGCCAGTCATGAAGTAATGACATTTACCTATATAAATAGCCTTGCCTCCAAGACCACCATAATTAGCAGGAATTTGAACATTCACTGCAAGTTGAATCCTGTATATACTATTCTACATTAGGAGCAATGTAAACAGCAATTTAACACAGATGAAACTGGATGATAACAATCCATACCCCAGTTGTGTTTTACCGATGCCAGGTACTCCACCTAATAAGATCAGGAAAAACGATAGTTTTACATTACCTTAGTCCGTGAACACATTTACTGAACCCAAAACAATAGCATCCAAATGGTATGAATCAACACCCACATAATAAAACAAAAAAGTGACAATGACTAACCAATTTCAGTGACTTCTTTGCAACTTATGCCTCCACCCAGAATGTCATCCAAATCTGCAGAAGATGTGGTAATGCGTCTCAACAATTCCTCCTCATGCAGCATGTCCCAGGCAGTCTGTGCACCTACAAAAGATTCGAAACTCAAAAACCTCCTTCAAGATTCTGAAATAATCAATTCATATACCTAAAAAGATGAGTGAGTGAGTGAGAGAGAGAGAGAGAGAGTACTCACCATTGACAATAGCATGACTTCCACTGGTGCCGTCCAACCAACCACTATATGATGCAACCTTCAGAATCTCAAGTGCTTCAGTCTCCGAAACATTTAGATCTACATAAAACACATAACAGAGAGACAATTAAAGAAATCCAGTTAAAAAAAAAAAAGAACAAATTAAAGAAATCAAATCACACTAGAAATTCTTCTTTGCAAACCGCACAAAACAACGCTGCCATGGAGAAGATTCTCACATTCACAAATTTACTTCTCACACACACACACACACACACAAAGGAAAACAGCATTTGTCAAATATACATATATGTAAAATTCATATTTACAGATGTAAAAATGTGGAAATCATTTGCAGAATTAGGAAACGATGAGGCACACTTTTTTCCATAAGAATTCAAATTGGAATAACATCAAGCAGTTGATGTGCGAAAGATTAACACTTACCTCGAGCAAGTTCGGAGGAGGAGACAGAGGAAAGTGAAGAGAGAGAAGTGTAGCCTGCGTATATCAGCTTCCCTCTCTGTGACGCTGATAGCGGTAATCTCGACACTTCCATCTCTCTCTCTCTCTCTCTCTCTCTCTCTCTGTTTAATTTATTGAACTCTTCGCGGTTTCATTCCCGCCAAGAATTCTTCTGTTGGATGAAAAATGATGTTGACCCCTTTACTTTGCTAATTTGAATTCAGTCCCAAACTAAAAATTTTCATTTCAATTTAGGTTTGGGTAAAATATATTTTTAGTCCCCATTTAATGTCTATTTGGTCTTTAAAATTCTTAATTTATATCTAAGTGGTCCAATCTCAAACGTATGTTAAAAAATCGTGACCATTCAATCTATTTTGATCACACATCGTGATAATCTTAATCATGTGTCTATTAGGTTTTTAAAATTCTTAAATTGTGTCTATTTTATTCAAATTAATTGGCGTGTGACTAGACGTGTTAACAATTTTTTAATAGATTTTTGAAATTTGATTATATAAATACAAATTAAGAGTCTTAAAGACTAAATAGACACTAAACGCATATTTTAAAAATTAAAAATATATTTTATCCTTTAGGTTTAATGAAATTCTACCCCTTAATGATTTTAAGATTTTGAGGTTGGTCTAATGACTTTGGACCTTAATGTCGTGAATTCGAACTTGATCGGTCCTCTTTTTGTAATTATCTTTGTAATAGTGTTGATAAAAAAAATATTTTTAAATTTTCACTTTCATTCTTCATAGATTAAAAATCTAATATTGCATTTATGAATTCCTTTAAATGATAGTACTATTTCCCTTTTTGCCCCGATATGAGACTTTTTTTTTGTTCATTAAGACTTGAACTTACAAACAATGAGTAAAAAAGAATATATTTTTATGATTTAATGAAATTATACTTGCAATATTAAACTTTTAATCTCCATCACAAAATTTTTAAAGCTAAAGTGTCTTTCAAGTTACCAAACTTTAAAATTGATTTAATGTTGATGTTTCGGTCAAAACCGCCAATCTTTTTAATAGAGCCATCTCAAGTTCCGTGACCACTAGGAAATTTGTTGGAAACAAATGGACCTAACTTATCAAAATTAATTTTTCACCTGTCACAAAAGCAGACAAATTTGATTCTTCATTTTTTTTTCTTTTTGCTGGTTAAAAAATGAATGGAGGTAAAAAAAAGCGTTCAAAGACCATTTTGATAAACCCTCTCACCGGTGGGATCATGAAATTTCGAACCACATCCGTTACTCTTCTCAAGAATGAATTTAACTAAGTTAATATAACGATTAACTACCGAACTCTAATACACACTCTAAAACTTGAACCTCCAACCTCAATATGAAAAGTTCAGCCGTATCTCCCTAAATCACCCCACTCGTGGAAATTTGATTATTCAACTTAGATCATGGTAAAGCAAACTAAATTATGCATTATTATTTCAACTTATTTCGACTAGGACGAAGTACATAATAGTCCCCGTTGCAAGCTACAAAAATAGCTTTGCAATTGAAGCTGTGTCAAAATCATCCGACTCACTGGCAAAAATGTAATTCAAACCCTTCTAAGCTAGTTCAATTGGTCAAACTTTTAGTTGTTTCAGTTGGGAAGCTCAGTTTTTCACTTGGAAATCTTTGCAGCCAGTTCTCTGACCAGCTTAGCAGCAACCATTGCAGTCATTCCATCGACAGTATCACGTTGTGGGTTGAACTCAACCACATCTGCAGCAACAACATCAGCTTGAAGGTTGTGAAGGATGTTGAGAACGTCACGGAAAGACAGACCACCTGGCTCAATATGAGATACCCCGGGAGCAAATGCAGGATCAAGACAGTCCACATCGATTGAAATATACACGCCTTTCGCACCTTCACCAAGTTTCTGTCACAGACAAGAGTAAGCAACTACAAATTAGGACACAATACATGTGTTTTGCATACTTTATCTATGCCACTATCTTTATATTTGACTCTCAGAGGGTTACAGGATCAGTGACGAATATGGTAATAAATACCAACATGACTTACCAAACCCCTTCTGCAGATCTAACTTTTCATGAAGCTAGTGAAATAGTTGGAATCCATAACTAATTCAGTTATACCCAAAAAGTTTCGAGGCATTGTAACATATTAAGGCATAATACTTACAATGTTATCTCAACTAATTTACATGACAATGGTTCTCTTCATACTAATGTAGTATTTCAATGCTTTGTAATACAGTTTCTGCAGAAACTTCATTGAAGCTTGAGAAAATTTCCAGTTCCTCTAAAAAATTTAACTAATCCCAAGGTCACCAAAGTCTCCAGATGATTGGTTGTGAAAAGTAGAAAGTAATTTATTGCATTACAAGGAGCAGGCTCATGGTGACCGGTTTGTTGCAGGATCTGTTAGTATCAGATGTAATAAATTCTTGCAACGTTGAGTCAATGATCAAGATTTCGTTCGAACTCGCCGAAACGTTTCCATTTCCATGGAAATCGAAATGAACCAATGTTTAAATATCAAAAGCCTATGTTTCAAGGTGTTTTCGGTATGTTTCGACCAATGTTTTTAGAATGTTTCGGAAACAAAGCTAAATAAAATTTTCTCCTTTTGCAATTTGCTTCAAAAATAATTCCGAAATATTTTCGTCTCAAAGATAACCGAAATGAAATTTGATACCTATTTAGAGTATGCGACATTATAAGTCTCATTACTCCTAATAACATGATGGATGAATTTAAAAGGTGTGTGGTTGCAATGCTCACCACAACATGGTTGGTTGTAATGTTATCTTTACTGTTAATTGATCTAGCCACAATCTTTACCTCAAATGCATACAAAAATTAACTGACCGGTTTTGAAATGCAATGCTGTGTACGCAGAGATCACACACACTCGGACATGCACATGCACAGAGAGAGAGAGAGAGAGAGAGAGTACTAGGTTCTCCAAGAAGTGACGATCTCTTGAAAAATTTCGCATTTCATATTGCTCCACGCCAAACCTTTTCCCTTGTTCCCGACCTTCATTTGTTATTGATCTGATACCAACCTGACAGTTACAAATTTGACACTTATGATTAAAAAATTGTGAGTTACACCGAGTGCAAAGATTACCATCATGTCCAAACTAGTGAAGAAAAAATAAATGTTTAACAGAGATAATAATGTAATTCTCTTGGATAACACATAAATTCAGTAATTACTGAAGTTGAGCAATAAAGATGGTGGTGGGACCAAAGGGGAATCCGGCAATAATAAAATTTGAATTTGGAGGGAAAATGAACCAGGTTCTCAAAAAGTTCATCTGTAGATCCAAGCTTAAGCTGTAGATCCACAAAGGAAGTTTCTATTTCAATGAGTTCGAGTACTACAACTGATGTGTGCAAGATATTTGCAAGTGTTATCAATCTGAATGAATTCAGGGAAGATAGAGTATGAAACTATGAAAGACAAATTCACTTATCATCAACTTCTGACCATTACATTGATTTAGTTGCCATGAGGCTAGAATCTGTTGGACTTATATGTCCAGTTGCCAATCAAACCATTTAGATTCTCATACCTGCAAAAGTCGTCGGGCATAACCACCCTCCATAATTCGGGCGAAAGAAGATGCGTGTGAGTACTTGTTTCCTTCAAATTCATTATATATATCAGGATGAGCATCAAGGTGAAGGATATCAACAGGTCCTCCAAGCTTCTCAGACACAGCTCGCACAACAGGAAATGATATTGAGTGGTCACCCCCTAAAACTAAAGGGCGCAGTGGCTCCTGAAAAGGTAGAAAACATAATAACAGTCAAGGTTCTTGTCCAAAATATAAAGTAACTGAAGACTACATTATATGACTTCAAGCAATCATATCATGGAAGACAAAAAAAAAAAATGAGATTTATTAGGTTTCGTAGGTAACTTCTACCCATCGGTTTCAACCTTAAAGAAAGAAGTGGATATTATTTTGGCTTGACAACTCAAACTGTCTTACAGTCAGCTCAACCTCTACAATGGGATAGAGCAAAGAATTCCAATAACCCCATGGGAGACTCTGAGGCCAAAAAAAAACCCAATGTGGAGTTCCTAGTAGCAAGAAAAAAGGTGGTAGAATAAAAGCATGATTGCACACACCGCGAGATCAACATACAAGATTTTCTTCAGGGATTTTTCTTACAGCAAAATATCCAGAAAATTCTCAGAGCAGAAAGCTACAGCAGAACACAACTTACTTCTTCCATAACAAGCTTGACTGACTGACTTATTATACTCATCAATTTGTCATCATCTACACTACAATCTCGTATCTCTTGAACAGGAACATCACCAACATCAGTCAAGATCCGTGGATCATTTAATACTTTTCCTGCATCGTTCCAACATCATGTTACACATAGAATTTGCTTCATCAGATATCTGGAGTTCACAAATAAGCATACAGATAAGTAAGTTGCCATAGAAATATTGAAATTGTAGGGATCCAGCCAAAGTTATA